ATCTTTTTATCTGTTCTCTATTTCTTCTTTCTCTCTCTTTTCACACCCCCTTTTCCCTCCCATTTCTCACTGTCTCTTCCTGTTTTACGATTCTCTCTTGTCATATAACAGTGATAAATTTCAATTTTATTTTAATCTCTTTATAACATCATATAAGTTTTGAATATTTTAAATAAACTATCCTGTTTTATTAGTAGATTTTTGCTATTCTTTAACTTTTTCCATTCAATTAATTGTTTTTATCATGATAAATAAATTAACCAGATTTTTTATTGTTAGCCTTTAAAATGGTCAATTTTCGAGTTAAAATTAACCTATGACGTAATTTAATACTAAAAAAGTTACAAATACGTTAAATTTAGTAAAAAATATGATAAAAAATTTGCCCGATTACTTTTGGTTTATTCAAAGTCATTCCATTAGCTGGTTGAGTGCGCACAATCGTTAATTATGTTTCTATTGCTGTGCACCAAAGCCCTTATTCTCTTACCACCCATACTAACCCTTTATTATACATCATATTTTTAGTATAGATAACATTTTTTTAATTTAGTCCGGAAGCGATAATTTAGAAAAGGTCAAATCTGTTATTAAAATCATTACAATTTCATGATTAAGGTAATGTAATTATTTAACATTTTCGTGGAATAAATGAGTAAGAAAAAAAAAACAGTCTTAAATCGACATTTCTATCCGGATCAAGAAAGATAAACTAAAACTATAGGATTTTAGATCAAATGTAAGGAATAATTTCTGTTTCTTTTTGTTTTTTTACTAATTTTTTAATCAATCAATTTCTTCTATTTTTCTTTTATTTTCCAATCAAATATTTTCTATAAACATTAAATCATTATCTTATCTTTCTTTGTATTTCGCCCCGCTCCTTAATTCTATATAAATCACTAGAGCTTTGTCATTTTGCTGTAGGGAACAGAACAACGCTTAGCTGAAATTTTGTTTACAGTTGAAGAGATGAAGAGTGAAGTAAACGGGACGTAGGGGTGTAAGGGAATGGTCGTCTATAGGATTTTATTGGAACAGCCCAATCTGAAAGCAATGAATTTAACCTTTACCCATATAAAGGACTTCCTTCCATAATCGTCGATGTTGTGTTATCTAATGATATTACATGCTATAGTTGGAGTCTAAAATTTGTACATCTCTGTCAGAGTATCAATATAAGCTTGATTGAATGATTTTGTTTGTTATAAGCTTAGATGGTAAATAAACAAATCATTAGAATCTGCACGAAAGCTTTTACAGTGTTACACTGGATAAAAATTTATTAGAATAAAGGTCAGATTAGAATATTTTATATTTCTTCCACTCCTCATTTAATTATATCCATTATTCATTAGAGTACATGTGGAAATGATAATGAATATAAGGAGAAAGAAAAAATAAAGAGATAGAGAGAGAGAGAGAGAGAGAAAAGTGTATATGAAGAAAGAAGAGATTGAAGAGATTTTCTGCTTTAATTACTGACTTCCATTCAATAATCTTGCAGAAAATTAAAATATTAATATTATATGCCCTATCTTTTTTATATTATTATTATTTTTATATATCCTTTTATATTTGCTATAAAGTCTCTATCTGACTTTAGAAGAAGAAGAAGAAAAAGAAAAAAGCTCATTAACTGAGAAAATAAATCTTTGTTAGCATATATTATGTTACGATATTCTCTCTCTTTTTATATACGTATATTTTTTTATGAAGCATTATACACTTGATTATAAAGAGTAAATTTAACAGCTAGTTATATGCAACAAATTTATAAAGGTAACATTAAAGAAAGCTACTTTTTCGATTAAAAAGTCATGTAATAATACAGTATATACCATAATATAATTTTAGATGCAATTCTGATTAATATAAATAGTATAGAAAGGAAAAATTAAAAGGGAAATACCTTATTTTCTTTAATATATAATGCAGCTTACAGCATATAGACAGCAACAAATAGAAAGGGTACATATATTTAGTATTTCATCACTTAAACTAGATAATTACACATGAATTATTTAGACAACAAAAGAGTTTTTTTCAGAATATATCAATAAGTGTGGGGACGGGAGAGAGTGTGAGAAAAAATAAATTATGGTAGACTGAATTGCATAGAGGGAAAATTTTACAGACGAGAAAATCTAAACAGGGAATATAATATAAAAATTGGAATAATAATTGTTCTTGAATAACAAACTATAAGGTTTTATTCCTGTTTACTTGAAGAGTAACATAGATAACGAAAAGTAAAACAATTTAACTGAAATGTTATAGATAAAATCATATTTGTTGTAATAATAAAACTTTAAGTGAATAATATACATGAATTATAAGCTTTTTTTATCTTTACTATAATGACTATGATCAATATCTACATCCTCTTTTCTTTCACTCCCTTCTCTTCTCATTTCTCTATTTCCTTTTTTGTTACATTTACTTTAGTTACTTTAGTGGATTTTAGGATTATCGTACTCTAGTAAAATATACTTAAGTATATGTTTTAGAAGAATTTAAAGGAATATAAAGACTTTCTTGGAAGTTAAATAGTTTTTTTTGATGTCAATACAATAGTACAATGTAAGGACACGCAAGATGAAAATTTTCTGAAGTGTCTTTTAGTTTCTTCCGGAAAATGCTTTAATCCTTCCATATTCTCTATCCTTTTCATCATTTTATAAACTTTTCATACTTTTCTCTTTCATAGATGGCGTTATTATGCAATACAAATGTTACAATGCATTACCTGTTAAATGTTTCAGTTGATGTATAAAGTGTTATTAACATCTGTAAGGTATATATATAGTACGCGAGTGTACTAATTATACATATATAGCACATACAATATATAATATAGATATAATTTGTATATTATCATAGATAAAAACTCTCCTAGTTCTTTGAAATTTTATTCTCTTGTAATAATCCTGCCAAATGGCCATCTAGTGGTAAGTACCTAATTTAAAAGGGTCTATCTCTAACATCAGTATTAATTTGAAGGGCTAGGGGAAGGGATAAGAGCAAAAGAGGAAGAGAGAAAGTTGATATATTATAGCAGAGTATTATTAAAGCTTCTTTTACATTAATATATAATATATTAATTATGACATTTCTATAAACTTAGTATGTAAACTATTCTATCCTTAGAGAAGTGCGTTCATTGATTTGTTCAATCGTATTCCGTTTTAACTGTAAAGTATTTTCTTTTTAGTAGATATAAACGATAACAATGACCTTTAGATATTTATTTTCGTAAATGTTAAACTACAAGTACTTTATTAAATATAATTAAAAAGTTATATTACGAGAGATATTAAATATAATAAAATTAAGTTTTGTTTTATTACTATAAAATAATCTTGTCTTAAATATCAAAATGCTCATCAATGACTTTTTTATTTTAATTTACTGTAGTGATTTATCTCTATCAGTATACAGTATAGCGCGTGTTCGTGCATGTTCATTAGCTGACTCAATAAGATATTAACTAGATAGTTTCGGTATATGTTGAATACTTTTTTATAATATGAACATCTTAATAAGAGTTTCTAATCTAAATTTCATACACGCAAACCGACCTTTATAGATACCAACTAACATTTGACACTCTAGATGCAGTACGACTACAAAATAGATGTAATGTACTCTAGAAACTTGTTAAAATAATATTAGAGGAAAAATCAAAGAAAGGGAAAATTATTCATATTCCTTCCTCTTAAATACTACTAATGATCAATGATAGATAGAATTTATTAACTTTCACGTTTATCAAGACAATTGTTCTTTGGTCATTAAAATAATGCGTATTAAACTGCACGTAATTTAAAGGCAGCAGTCTATCTCTCAAACAGTTTTCATCCGTGTAGTGTGAGAAATACAAAAATACGCATTACATTTTACTCTATCTTTTCTTAATTAGACACTGTATAATATAACTCTTTTTACTTTTTCTTCTCCCTTTCCCAGTCTCTCTCTCTTTCTCCACTCTTTTCTGTTTCTGAAAAATTGCACCGTAATCCGTTTCTCTCGTGATATTATAGTAGGAATAAGGATAAATTCATTTTTCTGTAAAAATACCGTACTACGGCTGGTAAGCAATACTATTAATCCTTACTACTCTCCCAAATACAATCAATCATTTAGGGATAATAAGAATTTCAATCTTTCTTACTTGACCCTGAAATTTTATGATTAAGGAAACTTTCGTTCTCTGATCGAAAGATAATTAGCCTATTATTATTTCTTGTGTCCGATATCTTGTTTACTTTTTTTTAAGTCAAATATTTAATAGTACTATATTACTTTTAAGAAACCTAAATAACTATGGGAAGAAGATGAAAAATTCATGGTAGAAAGAGACCTGCAGATCTCTATTATTATCAATTTTTAAATGAACCACAAGGATATCTTTAAAATTGAAGATAGAACACTACATACATATTGTCTGTCTATTGTATATTCTAAAGTCATATTGCATAGGTGCATAAGAATTCATTTTAGTACGCTATTGAACACCAAACCACAGGATTTCAATAATCAAAGAACGAAAGTATCATAAATTTAATATAGTTTTTAAATCCGTTGATATCTCTATAGTCTTAAAGTTGACATAAATTCTTTTACAAATAATATAATAGATAATTAAGATTATTGTTGAACTTGTTCGAGCATGACAAGATCGCTGGGAAATAACACATTTTTTTTTGCTGATAATTAGTATAAAACGATTTTTAATGCTTACATTTAAGTATAGTATAGAATACCGTGAACACAAACGTTAATTAAACTCTATATTATATATATTAAATATGTAATTTAATAAATATGCCATTTATTAACGAATGGGAATAAATTATTCAAAATAAGACAATCTTATGAAACAAAGATCTATTAAGATACACAGTAGATGATTTGTAGAAAAAATATGAAATTAAATTATTTCCATTCAGAATTCATCTTTAAAAGAAACGATTAATTAGAAAATATGTAAAAATTGACAAGAATATACTATATATTTATAACAATTATTATTAGATTCTTATCTAATAATAAATATTAATTTATATAAACCTATTTGATATTATGGTTGAAAAACACAAAAAACTCCAAAAGTTGAATGTCGAAACAAATGTCTAAGAAAGTATAAATAAAAGTAAGTCACCTTAGGTCTTTTAAATAATATTAAGTTTATACTTTCGTCCTTTCTTTTTATAACTCTTTCCTTATCATTCGATTTTATATTTTTTGTATTTTTGCTATCATAAAATCAATTTTTTTCTTCTTTTAATTCTTTTAAAGAATAATCTTTTTACTTTTTTAATAACCCGACTTCTGATTTTCAATTTTCTGGTATTTCTCTTGCCATGTCTTCCACATTGATTTGATAAGTTCGTGTAAAGCTAGAGGACTAGTATTTGCTCCAATCATTCTGAGAACAAAAACTCCATCTCTGCCTAAATACTGCAAAAACTCGCGTATTTCGTTATCATCTTCTGCTTTGATATGTTTATTGATGTAGTCGTATGGACTGCTAATAAATTTGACCATCCATTTTATAATTGAAATTGCTTGCATAACCAAGAGAAGTACAATCCAAAACCACAAAAAGATGAACATTTTTTCATTAAACAAATTGATTGAGAGGACGCATTGAACAGTATAAGGGTGAACATTTCCTAATCTTCTTATTTTTAAATCGCACAGGGTAACTTTTGGAAATCTCTCAGATTCTGGCTCATTTCCGCTTGATAATTCTCTTAAAACTTGAAATCCGTATAAATTGAAAGAATATCCCATGAAAAGATTCATTAAAAACATTTGAGCAAAGGCGTCAAGAAAGTACATAATTTTAATAGCCATATACAAAACAACTAAGAAGTTTTTGCTCTTTTTGTTACAACAACAACACAGTGCAAACGAGAAAAAGGTATTACATGAAATCGTACGCTCTCCTGAAGATATTTTATCTTGCGCCATAAGATATCTCTCCATTTGTTCTGTTTGCAATTTAGTATCGCTTTCTTGAACCAAAGACTTAATATCTATACCAGATTTGACATTCATCATTCTCCATACTATAACGGGTAAGTAAAACATTAAAGCTGATAGCATGAATATGATTGGAACCCATTGGTAATAAGCGACTTCTGTTTTTTGCTTTGCAGGAAGACTTTTATCAAACTCAACGTGGTATGTATTCATTATCCAGCAATAGCTATTGGTATATTCCAACCAACCGTCTGAAAAATGAGCGGGTACCCAACAATGTATAGGATCGCCAACAAATTGTGAAGTTGACACAACAACTGCAAAAGCAGCCAGCATTGTTGTTGTATACTTATGAAAAAGTCTATCTGTAGAATCATCATCGTGATGATTCTTAAGGTTCGGTATAGAACCGAAAACTCCAAGAATTTTATCCATTACTCAGCGGTAACAAGTCAATAATTGATTACTGAAGACTAAAGTTGAATTTGTCGCTTTATCACATTTATCTATCCATATGTCAAATTTTATTGGCTAGTCAAGAATTTTTTTTAGCATTTTTTATAAATGTATTACCTTTACAATTAAAATATGTTATAAAAAAAACACGAAGAAAGTAATTAAAGTTTATAGAAATGTTGGATATTTTAAAATGTTCCATCTTGTTTTACAAATTTATTGAAGCGATGGAAATCTACTCCAGTTGATTATGAGAATATATACCGTAGTTATTAATTGGAAAGAAAGAGATTTTAAGTTCTGGAACATCTTTTCTATAGTTTTACGTTTTTAATTATGACGTATTTAGGCTGGCGCAATGAATGGTGTTAAATAATGTTAAAATAATAGTGGCTCAGAAAAGGGTCTTTTACTTAAGGCTTAGTTAAAAAATTGTCTAAAGGTAAGCATTCATAGGGAGAGATAGGGTTGTTCACATTCTCTCTACCACACGCAAACAAGCATATGAAACATAAGTCGTAATTCTACAAATAAAAGCAGAACGAAAAATCTCTTCGTCGTATGCTCTTAATGTATGTATTAAGAGAACACTTAATAAGAAGTACTTTAATCTAATATAAAAATTATAATTTTATTTATGAACCTTAATAAAATCACAGATAATTTGAAATCAGATATCTTATTATCAAAAGTTAAAAATTAAGCGTTTAGCAGAGATTTTTCAATATTTTTATATATCTATTTTGACCTTTAAAAGACCTTTAGATATTTAACATTGTATTTTGACGTAACAGGTATATTTATAATGTACGTAAAAAGTTTAAATGATTTAAAGACTCCTCAATGTATTAGACACATTTAAATCATTTTATTATACTCAATATTCAATGATCTATACAGTTGATATTTAAAGTCGAGTACTTTACTATAAATAATCAAGACTATTCGAAAGATCTCATGTAATTTGATAAATTAACAAAAGTAGATATATGTTATCTTTTTCTCTAGTAAAACAACGAAAAAGAGATAATTATACTAATGAATTTGTCATGCATAAGGAATTTTATTATAAAGGCAGCTACTGCAAAATATTTTTTATTTTCATATCTGCACATTGTAACATCTCTTTTTAAAATTTCATCAAGTTAAGAAGTGTACCTGAGGATGAAATCTCAAAAGTTTTACAATTATGGGTTTAGCACACATTTTTAAAGGTTTCAGCAAACTAATGTAGAAAGTTGAGCTTTTTAAAGAGGGATACAATTGTCTTCAAAAAAATGTTTTTGAATAGAAAGATTCTTTTGTTATTAACACCCTGTTATAATGTTAACAACGTTTTTTTTCATAACAAAACCCTTTTTACGATTGCGCTTAATAATCTTCTTTCTTTTCTCTATTTAAAATTAATACCTTCATTAGCTCTGGGTTTTGCTTACAAAGTGGAGACCAATTGAAACTGTAAAATGCAGTAATTTTAGCTTTCTCATCTTAGCTCATTAAAAGTATACTTCAAATATTAGCCATTCTTGTAATTAGTATATATAAATAGCGTTGCAGATTATATAAGATGCTTTATTTTTCATTAACTACGCTACATCATAGTACAGCTTTTGTCGTTTTCATTACGATGCTTGACGTTACAGAAAGTATTGGTAATGTTACAGAAAACAGCAAGCATTCAGAAGGACGTTCAGTTTTACAGGTGGACAGTTTTATGAATATATTATATATTATTGTTAGTGTTGTAGGAGTTGTGGGCAACGGTATTGTTGTTTTTACGATGCTACATTCAAGAGCTTTAAGACGGAAACCTTCAAATGTTTTAGTGATAAATCAGTCAACAATCGATCTCTGTAGTTCAATATTAATTGCTCCGAGTTATCTATTGAATACAACAGTGAATATGGATCATAGTTTGGCATCGAGTCTTTGGTGTAAACTTTGGTTGGCTAGACCTATTAAGTGGGGATGCATTCACGCATCTAGTTACGGTCTTGTGTGTTTAAGTTTTGAGAGATTTCTCGCTCTCGTTTATCCATTTTTCCATACAAAGCATATGACGACGAGAGTTGCCAGATTAATGTGTATTATACCGTGGGTCATCAGTTTTAGCTACAGTGTACCTCTTAAAGTTCCTACTAGCTATGTTGACGAAACTGGGACGTGTAAAATGATGGCTAAATGGCCAAGTCAAAAAATGCAAGAGAGAACCATGATAGCCATAATATTTCTGCAATATTTCTTACCTTGTATAAGTCTGATTTATCTATACTTGAGAATGTATTTAGCCATAAGAAGGGCAAAAAATTCGAGTAAAACTGGAAATGAAGATAATAAGAGAGCTTTAAAAATGGAACAAGCCGAAAGAAACATGTTCAAGACATTTGTACTTGTTACTCTGGCATTTTTCCTTTGCGTTTCTTGGAATCAATGGTATTTTTTTCTTGGGAATATAAACCTTATTGAACTAGACTGGCAAACACCTTGGTATCATTTTACCGTAATAGCTATCTATACAAACGCTATCATAAACCCATTTATATATTCATTCAGCTACGAACCATTTAAGAAAGAAATTGTTAAAATATGCGGATGTCGTAGAAAACCAAAGTATGAATCTTACGAAAGTTCACAATCAGTTGCAACAAAATTTTAAAGAAATACCAAAAATATTTCTTGTCTGGCTTTTTTATTTTATTTAAACATAAAAAATATATGTATTATATAATTAAATTGCCATAAACAGCGTTCTTTTATGTCTAAAATAATACAATAATAAAACATAAACTATGAAAATTTATCATTTATACACTTTATACGTTCAAATGTGTTTTTTCCGTAAAAAATATTATCCTAAATATAGATCTATTTCTCATTCATAAATAAAACAAAATAAGGTTAATGTCCTAAAATGGAAAAAGATAACGATGTTCAGTTTTTTTGTATTTTTTTCTATTTTATATTATAACTTTTGAATTCTATTTCTATGTTTATGGCACCTCTTGGTCTCTCGTAATACTGTATATTTCATATCTTATTTCATAACATTGTACAGGCATTTCAATAGAACTTTATTAATTAATGAACGTCAGGCGGTTCCTTTCTTAAGCAGACTACTTTGAAATGATCACTTTAATATTTTCATTACTTTACACTACTTTAATTATACTGTAGTCTTCAGATGTCTAATGTGGACGCGATATTTATTAAACAGACTTAATTGGCGAATCTAAGGATAGGACACCACCTGTTCCAACTAGTAAACGAACGAACAACAATATGTTGAATACATATTGATTAGTTTAACACTGACCGGTTTAATGTCATAGAGAATGGAATTAATAATTAGTGAACATGACAGTTGGCATTTTGTCTTGAGTTTTTCATAACTATTTCATCTTTATAAATAATATTTTCATCTTTGAAATTCAGTTAGAAACGGCAAAAGAAAATGACGGAAAAGAATCAGAAAAGTCTCATTAAAGCTAAAATTAAAGAATCTTTAAGTATGTCAACACTAAAAGGAATTCCAAGAGTTATGAAAACTAAAAATAAATGTATTAAAAGCTTATGGGCTGTTGGAACGATTATGGTTATTTTGGCTGCTGGATGCCATTGGTATTATCTCTTTAGCGGATACTTAAAAAGAACAGTTTTTACTATTGTTCAAGAAAATTATGAAGCTATTCTATCGAATGAAAATTTTCCTGGTCTTACATTGTGCTCACTTGTGCCATTTTCAAAGGATCCAACAGGAGAAATTCCATCTTATGAACAGTTTCATACTAAATTATTATCAAAAATAAAGGAGCTTGAAAAGCGAAATAAGACACTTAATAGCAGAACAAAAAGACTTTTAATTCATAAAAGCATATATTACGATTGGTTAGGCTTAAATGACGCCAGAAAAATAGGTCAGAAAGAAGGAGTATTTATCTTGAATTGTAAATTGAAAATATCTGGTTACGAAGGAGCTTATTTGCCTTGTAGAAACTATTCAACAATTACTCTGATTCAAAACCCTTATATGTTCAATTGTTATGCAATTAAATTCAATTTACCACAAATTGAAAATGGAGTAATTGACAAAGCGGTTTTTACATTATATCTCGACGAAATATCCCCAGACTATTCTTTTTATTTAAAGAAGAATTATAATCTATTAGGAGAGGGAATTAAAATACTGGTACACGATAAGAATAACAAATTTCCAAGAGTTCAAAATGAAGGATTTATTATTTCAAAAGGAACTAAATCTATTGTAACAACGAGACCAGTATTTAGAGTACGTAAACCCGAACCATATACGAATTGTCAAGAAATTCCAAATGACATTTATAATTTTACTGGAAATCTAGTAAAAGCGAATTCTTTTGCGTATTGCTCTTTAAGATTATGGCAGAATGAAGTTGTGAAAAAGCACGGGTAAGTTAATTTTATTGATTCCAATATTTGAAATACTGGCATTTATATAATATTTTATACTGTATACGTGTATTAGGTGTATCTCAACAACTTTATTAATTGTCTCCGAACTTGATCACCTAAAGCTACCTCGATGCAAGGAATTAGGTCGAAATATAACTTTAAACGGTTTAGAAGCAGTTATAAATTTCATCAATAATTTTTATAATATAACTACTATAGAATACGATTCTAAAAATGCTACTACTGGGGGACGCTGTCGTCATCCTTGCTACGAACATTATTTCAAACAATCTTATTCAAGTATAGATCTAAAAGGTTCATACTTTATTAATCTTCTTGAATATGCTGACAATGTAGAAGCGATTAAAAACTACTTGAAAGTTCAGCAAACATTTCAAAAATGTATTGAGAAGGATACTGAAAAAAGTTGTATAGAGAAATTAGCAATTGTGCCATATAAGAATCTGATAGAACTGGAAGTTCAACAAAATATTCATTTTGGAGCTTTAGTTGAATTCGACGCACCTGTTTTTGAACTTCCAGATTTTTTAGCAAAACTTGCTGCAACAATTAACTTTTGGGTTGGATTTTCGGCTATAATTTTCATAGAGATAATCGATTTGATTTTACAGATTTGTATACCTGGAACTGTATAAGAAACAATCAAGGAAGAGATTTGTCAAAACTGTTATAATTTCGCTAACCTTGTCATATGAATGTATATCTATATACTGTATATGTAAAAAGAACATTTCATATGCAAAAAAAATTAAGTTTTGTTGTTTTCTTTATCGTCTTTATTATATAATCTATACGAAAAAAAAGGAAGAAATGAAATAAAGTTGAGAAAACTATCGTTTTTGTTTATTAAATGTTTATTAGAAAAAGAAAAATAGAGAGCAGCGAATTAATTTAAGATAAAGAAATCAATCAATACTTTATTGTAACAATAGATATATTTTGTCGAATTAAGCGTGTTATATTGTTATGTTTTTGCTATTGTTACAATTTTTTTTTGCTGTTTTTAGCTATATTTTTATTTTACGTAATGACAATTTACTAGTCGAAACCAATGAGATAATCAGGCTAAGGACAGTTACAATTGATATAATTGTGTAAGAATCGTTAATGGAATGAGTTGTTTCTCTCTTTCAGTATTAATCCATTAATTAAGACATTTTCATAACTTTAATATTATAGGCTATAGCTTTTCATTTGATTATACAGTATTAATAATATAAATTCATAGATTCCTCTTCTTTTCAAAATATCTTTGTATTCTATTTTGTAATCTGTTCAAACTTTAATACTTTTTCATACTTTCATTGAACTACTTTTTGTAAAAACAGTATATTTCAGTTTTAATAGCTTTTATTCAATTTTATAATCTAGTTGTAATTTCTCATATGTTTGATTTCATCAATGGATCATTTCGAAATATTTGAGTTTTTTTGTTAATTCTTTACATTTATCTGTGTTGATCATTAATGAAACTCATGAGTTATAAAATAACAATAAGTAGGAAATGAATCATGTTCCGGTATACATATATATAAATATAGACAAGTATAATAGAACTGAGTGATATTTCATATATTATAGACATCATATCTTTTCAAGGAAACGTAATTAATTATTTAATCTTAAAAATGGTTTATACATTATAAATCTCACCAAATCAACTAACCGTCCATGTAAATGGTAATGAGTCAACAGAAATGTGCAAATATGACGCGATCACTTTGTCACAGGAAGTTAAATTTCATATAAGCTTCTTACTCTAAATGTACTCTTCTATTGGCTTTGTTCTGTAGAAAGAGATTAATATAAACACTAACGGAAGTTAATTTGTTTTATTTTAAATAATAAACAAACTAATAAGTAATAATTGTAAGAAAAAGACTCTTTTTCATTTTAATATTCCATCTTTAAATATAACATAAAAAAAAAACATTAAATCGCTAGCAATTGGCTTTTGTTGTCTTTTTGTTCTTTTATTATTTAGAAACACTAAAAAAACGAGCAAGTAAACAAGTAATAAAGGGAGAATTAAGTAAACATGCGATGTTCCCTATGTTTTTTTTATGATTATGAAATATTCACTGTAGGGGGCAGCTACACTCTCTAGAAAACATCGACTTCATTAAAAGTGATACACATACTGCTAAGCGTCGGCGACAGAGTTTGATTGCTGAGATAGAATGTTTTCTAATTGTTGTCAATTACATCAATTAATTAAAGTTATTTTAATATAAAAAGAGGAGAAAGATAATTACCAGAAAGAGATAATTTTTATTATAATGATCTAATCTAAATTTACTATATAATTAACTAGTGGAATAACATTTTTAAAAAAGATGAATGATAATAAGAATATGGATAAATATACAAACTATGATAAGATAATAAACCAAGTAAAAGAGTCATTAAGTATGTCAACAGTAAAAGGAATACCAAGAATAATGAAAACGAAAAATAAATGTATAAGAAGTTTATGGATAATGGCAACAATTTTGGTTTTGTTCTTCGCTTGTGGTCATAGCTATTTGTTATTTAAAGGATTCTTACAATACGGTGTATATACAATCACTGAAGAATCTTTCGATTTAACATTCTCCGTTGATTATTTTCCATCAGTGACAATTTGTTCATTAATACCATTCGCTGAAAATACTAAAGAAAGTATTCCTACTTATAGAACTTTTCACGAATCAGTTGAAAAAAGATTGAACGACTTAAAGAACGAAAATCTTAGTCTCTCGGAAGGTGAGGAATCTCTATTAAAAAATATTAACATGTATTTTGACTGGCTTACATTGGAAAAAGCTAAGCTTAAAGGATACGATAGTGATATATTCGTATTAAAGTGTAAATTGATGCTATCCGGGAATAAAGCTGCAAGAGCACCTTGTAAAAATTTTCTAAAGATTACTCTTGTTCAAAATCCTGATTTATTCAATTGCTTTACTTTGAAATTCTCTCTACCAAGATCTTCTGGAAAGTTCATCGAAAAAGTTATGCTAAGCCTATTTTTAGGTAATATACCTTCAGATTATGCCTATTATATTGAAAAAAACAAAGAATTAACTGGTCAAGGTAAATAGATTATTAAAAATATAGTAAAATGGAATGAAAATTGTAAAAGAGTATCATTTGATAATAGAAAGAGAAATTATCCTTGAGATAATAATCCCTAAATTATTTATTATTGATATTCGATATGTAGATGTTATTCTATAGACAAAGATTTTTTCATGTCTTCAACGTTGAAGAATGAAGAAAATTTACAAATTTTCTTTCTTCTTTCTCTTATAGAACAAGACTTATCTTTAAATTTCATGCTATATTTATACAGATACATAGGTACTGTTTAACTGAAGGAAACAAATCTAATGATTTTCGTGATCATAATCCTTTAAATACGAAATATCTTTTACATCTCTCTTTAAATTGCAATGAAATTTTAATAAATTCTATTTCACTTGGATACTTCTATCACAGGTATTATATATACAGTATACATATATATATATATATATATATATATATATATATATAATTACACCTAGAATTTTTCCAACGTGACTTGATGCCTAGTTAATCTATTGAACCTGGAGACAGGCAAAATTATTTCGCTTAATAGGCTTAATTATTTAATGCATACATGACTTACCGGCTATTCTGTTTTCTCTTTGACCAGTGTTTATTACGAAAAAAGGGAATACAGTTTTTAATAATGGTGTACAGGTGACTAAATGGGCTCTAAAAGGCTATATATATGTACTGTATATACTGATATATAGTGTAAAAAGTTAACTAACATGTATTTAAATAGGTCTTATTACTTTAATTATATATTTAACAATAACGAATAGAATGATGTACGTCTTTTTTTAATCTATTTACCTTTGACTATTTCCATTCGATGATGAAAGGAGTCAAAATCTTTATACACGATAGACAAGAAAACTATCCAAGAGTTCATGGCCATGGTTTAATTGTTTCAAAAGGTGTTAAAGGTATCCTAACAACGAGACCAAACTTGAGAATAAGGAAAGCAGCACCGTATACAAATTGTCAGAAAACAAAAAATTACATGTACAATTTCGCTGGAGATTTTGTAGATTCAAAATCATTTTCGTATTGTACTTTAAAACAATGGCAGGATTTTATTGTTAAGAGTATTAATTGTACTTTAAGCTCTCTTTTAATCATTTCTGACCGTAAGCATTTAAACTTACCAAAGTGCAGGCAACTTTCTAAGTATATTACTAAAGAAGAATTATTAACGATAGCTTATACTAACCGTTTCCTTCTGGGATGGAATAGACTAGCTTCCCCAACATCAACTCCTAGCAGTAATAACAATAATGACATTAATAATGATAATACTGCAAAAGACCAATCGACACAAAGAAAATGTCACGAATCCTGCGAAGAACTTCGATTCAAATACACATTTTCCTCATTAGCATTGGATGAAAGATTTTTAATTAACCTCTACGAATATGCTGATAACAAAAAAGCAATGAAAAGCTACTTAGAGTCTTCCAATGACTTTAAAAAATGTCTAACTAATTTTCAAAATTATACAGAATGTTTTGAAAGAGTATCAACAGCATCCTATAAAGATCTTATACAATTAGATATTCAACAGGATAGTCAATCAGGAGGAATAATTGAATTTGATGTTCCACAATTTGAATTAGCAGATTTTTTAGCAAAACTAGCGGCAACAGTCAATTTTTGGGTTGGAGTTTCAGCTATATTTTGCATTGAATTATTTGATATTTTACTACAAGTAATTCTATCTATAGAATTTCCGAAATATTAAAAGTATAAACAAGGAAAAATAAAGCTATTTCACTATTTGTTTAAGCATTGTTTAACATCAATAAATTACAAAAGTTTGTCTTTAATTTTTAATTAATATTCAATTCGTTTGTTTTTAGTAACTGGTTAAAACAGAACACACTTCGCCTAGTTGTCATATACTACATACAGTACATGAAATGTATGTAGTATGTAACGTACAGTACAATATATTGCTTTCTTTTAATTTTTTGCCTCCTAAGAGGTTTTTGTACAAAACAACTTTCTATTAGATTAATCAATAAAGGTCTTTCATCTTAATGTAATAAGGTTTTTTTTTATCTAGCTTTAAGATATTCTTTAAAAAATATTCGAAACAAATTATATACTTTAGTACGAACAGATAATATTGAAAACTTTCTCTTTTTTGTCTTATTTTCCTTCTTTTGATTCTCGTTCACATTCTCTCAACCTCTTTTCCTTCTCCCACTTTTTCTTTTATACTCTTCAATAGCTACTTGTTTAGGGATCCTATTTTTTCTCAGATTCTGAAATTGATTGAGTCAATGCTTTATTCATTTAAAATTGTCAGTTAAAAGCTAACGAATCAATAAAAGTGTAATTAGCCCATTTTACAGTTCCAGGGATCTATCTGGATCGATTTTAGTCAGCTACCGAGAAATAATAAGAAAGTGAATTGTTAAAGATTCCATAGAAACAACCTATATATCTTTTTATAAATAACAAATGTTTTTTGTTTATTCAAGGTATATTTGTATAGAAAATAATGAAAAATTTTGGCGTAAGTCGTTTCAGACATGATTCTGTTTTTCCGAAATAGCAAACCATATTTGACTTTTTAACTAAAAGTTTTTTGTTTCCACATTAACGCCATCTGGAATTTATTAACAAATATTCATTTTCAGAAAAAAAACTTTATCATGACTAAGAGTATAGAAAAAGAAACAGTTAAATAAAGGTAAAGACATAAGAAAGGTTACATGTAAAAAGGCTTTCACTGTATATATTAAATAAATATATATATGTCTGAGTGTGTCTGTGTATGTAGACTCATACAACTAAGACGATGTGATATAAAGTTAATAAACTGTTGAAAAATGTAAAAGTGATTAAAGCAAATTCAACGTTCAGCAATTAACTCTATAAAAATTATAATGTAAAAAGAAAATAGAAATAAAACATCTGCTGATTGAAATGATTAAATATCATAAAGCTTATCTTTCTATTGAATGGAAATCATTGCAAAACAGTACAAACTCGTCGGAATGCCAAGTTATTTTTGTTTGGAAAAAAAGCAGCTATAATATTAATCGAGTGAATTGAATCAGTGCTTTTTTTAGTTTCAAAATATTATACTATGAAGAGGTGGAAAACTATACCTGAGCGAGTTAAAAATTCCTTAAGTCTATCAACATTAAAAGGTCTTCCAAGGATTATAAGGACTAAGAATAAAATTTTCAAATGTATTTGGATAATATCAACAATTGCTTTATCGATCGCAGCTGTCTATCATGCTTATCTCTTGATCAAGAAATATCAAAACCCAATCTCTTATACTATAGTGAAAACATCTTTCGATAGAAGTGAAACGAATCAGAACTTTCCTTCCATGGGAATATGTTCCATTGCTCCATTTGGAGAATTTACTCCCCATGGCTTCCCAAAATACAAGGATTTTTATATACTTATGTCAGAAAGAATTTCCCAGTTGGAAAGAAAGGGTATAAAGGTTAATAAACAATTTTTTTCTCTTTTAACCGAAGTTTCAAGCTATTATGAATGGCTGGGACAGGAGAGAGCATCAAAAATGGGATATCAAAAGGAGACGTTATTTTTAAATTGTAAAATTTACTATGAAATGGATTCAAACAGATACGATTCATGTGATAAAGTGTTAACGATATCGTTAATGCCAAATCCGAATTATTTCAACTGCTATAGTCTTACATTTAACTCTTACAAAGGCATAGATAGAGTTGAACTAATCATTAATCTGGGTGAAATTTCAGATGATTCTAGTTATTATTTCAGAAAGAGTAACTCTATCTTAACGGAAGGTATTCAATTATTACTTTATGACAAAAACGAAGACCACCCAAATATAAATGAAAGGGGAATTCTCATTCCTAAAGGGAAACAAGTAGCAATTTCAACGATACCTGTTGTAAGAATAATTAAATCCTACCCTTTCACTCAATGCAACGGAGATAAAGATATGTATAGTTTTCAGGGTGCAAATATAGGTTCTTACTATTACTCACATTGCTACCATAAAATACTTCAAGCATTTATAATAGATAAATTAAATTGTACTCTACAAAGTCTTTTGATTGTACCTACACTCAGGGACCTCGACAGACCAACTTGTAAACAGATGTCCGAAAATATAACTCTAGAGGTCATTTTTCTTTTACAACATTGACAATTCTTAAATACAATAAACAGTTTACAAATACACATAGAGAGACTTTGAAGTAAAAATAGCTTTTGACAGCCTTCGAAACTAATCAGAGTCATTTCAAGTTTTTGTAATATTTTACAATTCTGATTAACTATAAAGCTTCATCTTTCATGAATCTAGCGTTAAATAAGTAATTACAAGAGTATTTCTTACAATCTTCATTCTATATATATCATAATAATTTTTACAAAAAAAGTTCAATGACCTTTTTTTTCTATTTTCGCCATGATTTAAAGGAAATTGAGAGAATAATAAGAAATTTTCAAGAGATTTATAGTTGGCTTGGTAAAGAAGCATTAGTGCAAATGAAAGATTTAACGGATAATTGTTCAAAAGTGTGTAACGAAGTTTCTTTTAAAAAGAAGATATCAACAGTAGACTTACAAAAAATATCTAGAGAAAGTATTCACCTGTTAGCAGGAAATATGGATAATATAAGAAGACTTTTAAAACCTACATCAGCCTATAAAAACTGTTTAAATTCAACGACAGATGAACACGATTGCCTAGTTAGATTATTAAATCTATCTTCAGATAACCTTATAAGACTAATAGTTGAAAAAGATAAACAACTAGGAGTTGAGATTGAAGAAGATCAGACATTTTATAACTTTCCTCATTTTTTTGCTCAATTTGCTGCTGCAATTAACTTTTGGATTGGTCTCTCAGCAATAGTTGCTATAGAAATAGTTGATTTCTTTTGTCAAATTTATTTCTCTGTACCGGTTTATTCAATGTCTTATTCAGTTTCTATAAAGAGATAATAACACCAAAATGTATTATACCCCTATGAATAAATTATTATTTTCATAACATATAGTAAACACGTCTCATTCTATTTTATAGCTCTTATTGTTTAATCTATTAAAAAAGTTACTTAATTAGTTGATATTAATAGACAACGTTGGTATTAACTAGAAAATATTTAGTATATGAACAATATATCATTTTAACATTTCCATATTACCTAATTAATATTAATTGTTTACAAGTAATAATTTACTCGTTACACTCTTTAGAAAGAGAAACACTATTTTAGATACAGCACTGCCATCTATTGGATATAAACTGATATTTTTTTTATACAAATAAATTATAAATAGCCAACCGTTAATAGAAACATCATTTCTTATCATTAATTCCCACCAAAATACACTACATATATTTAGTTCAAGTAAATTGCTTTGGCAATTGTTCCGCCCTCTATATTATTAATAGAGTTAAAAATTCATTCATCCGCTTTATATCGTTTGCATATGATTATACTTATAGTTTCCTAGTGGATATTTTCTCATAAACGATTTCTCGCTTATTGTATTATATTATCTTCATCGAAATGACGGAGTCATCAAAATGCTTAAAAGTAAAAAAGAAATTCTTGGATGCCCTTCATGTCACAAGTATGAAAAGTATTCCAAGAATCGTTAAAACAAGAAATTCGTGTATTATGTCAATGTGGATTGTTGTTACAATTCTGGTTATTGGCATTGCTTGTTACCATAGTCATAATCTAATATCTGGCTACTTGGAATATGGAGTTTTTACCCGCATTGAAGAATCTCATAAGATTATGAAGAGCAATGAATATTTTCCAGCTGTAACTCTTTGTTCTCTGTCTCCTTTTAAAGAATCATCACAAACTAACTTTCCGACATATCAAGATTTCTATAATCTCTTAATGAAAAGACTTGAAGAGAGAAGCTTACAGAATAAAACTCTCAATGCCCAGCAAATAGCCTATTTAACTCATATTGCTACATACTTTGACTGGTTAGGCAGGAATAGAGCCAAAGAAATAGGTATGTTGTCCTAAAATGGATTGATAAATGAACTAATTTGATAATTTTACGCTAGAGCTGAAGATCTTTATGTTTTATATAAAATATACAGCATACGCTGATATTTTTCTTATTGAGACTATTTGTTGCAGATTATCATATTTAGTATAATCTATATTTTTTTTTAGGTCACGAGCCGTCAGTTTTACTTCTAAGTTGTAAAATTACTATGGCAGGATTTGAATCATCCTCGATTCCTTGTAAAGACTATTCAAACATTACGATTGTTCAGAGTCCAACTATGTTCAATTGTTTAAATATTAAATTTTATATTCCCTACGTTTTTAATACCATAATTGATAAAGTTATACTAACATTGTATTTGGGTGAGATGCCCCAAGATTTCAAGTTTTACAAGGACAGAAATGGAGTTTTAGGAGGTGAGGGTATTAAACTTTTAGTTCACGATAGGAACGAAGTATCACCAAGAATTCAAGACATGGGCCTAATAATACCTAAAGGCAGCGAAGCTTTCGTTATTACTCAACCAATTTTAAGAATAAGAAAGTCCACCCCTTATACTGATTGCGTTAGCGAGAAGGATGTTACATATAACTACGACGGCGATGAAGTAGACGCTTCTGCAATAGCTCATTGCGTAACAAAAACATGGCAAAGTATAGCTATAAATCTTTTTAACTGTACATTAAGCGAAGTAGCTCTAGTGCCCAAATTAGAAAATTTGAATCTAAAAAGATGCAAGTACTTATCACCAGACATAAATATGAATGAATTGAATGACGTGATATTAAAAAATGACTTTTTTTATAATTTGACAGCAGCTATTGATTACAAAGGTGTGCCAAAAAGTATATTAGGACCAGAAATATTTTGTAAAGTAAGATGTAGAGAGAAATTTTACAGACAGACATTGTCAACAATTCCATTGGAGAAAAGCTTGATGTTTAACATTTTAAAAATGGCTGATTATAAGAACTCAGTTGAAAAATTTATAAAACAAACATCAGGATATGATTTATGTATTAAACAAAATTATTCTCAAACGGAATGTTTAGCAAAATCAACTAAAGTATCTTATCAGAATTTAATTCAATTGCACATTCAACAAGACATTGCAAAAGGAGCAATTATAGAAAGAGATACGCCTCAATTCTCAATCGGAGATTTCTTAGCAAAATTAGCGGCAGCTGTAAATTTCTGGTGTGGATTCTCAGTAATAGTCGGATTTGAAATAATAGATTTTGTCTTACAAGTTTGTTATTCCCTTTGCTCAGATCGTAAGAAAAAAACTCCAGTTAACAATTATCAATTAACCTGAAAGATTTACATATATATGAATATACTGTATATATATATATATATATATATATATATATATATATATATTATTTTCTCATAGTCTGTATAGTAAAAGAAAAGAAAGCTTTTCAAATTTTTTACTTCTGCTTTTACAAAGGAGAGATGGGATCTTTAATTCTTTAAAACGCACATATATTTAATCTCTATTATGTTTTTTATAAACTGCATGTTTTTTGATTTTATGAATCACTTTTGTTATAATTATACAACCTCTTTTTCATAGAATATTTTTTACATGTATATCATAAAATTATATAATTTTTAATTATATTTTTACCATCTGTGTTTGTGATAAATTGTTCAATAATAGCTATAAAACTGCATTCAAATTTTTGTAATGAATATAAAAATTTGGGTGTTGTTCACAGTTCATAAAAAAATACATTGATTAATTCTTTAAATCTTCATAACTAATTAATTTTGCGCTATTCCTATTTCTTAATTAATAATAAAGAAAATGATAGAAAAGTAAATGGATTATCGGAATTGTTACTTTTGTAACAAGGCTTTAATGATATATTTTATCACGAAATACACTCTTGCCTATTTCTTTGCATATAGTTTCAAATGATTCAGATTTTATTGATTGCTTAATAGCTCTCTTTCCAGAATGGTATCTATAATGCTGTATGTACCAATATCCATCATACTATACTATTCATCAGGCCTTATTATACCTTGAAAATTACCCCGAGGGGTGTCTGCCAAACAAATTAGTGTAAAGAGTATTATACCTATATACTCTACTAGTAATTAGCCGTTACCCTTTAATATATCTGTCTGTTTTGTTTTCCGCTCTCTCCCTCTCTCTCAGTCGTACCCTCAATGAGTTTTTCTTTTTGTAGTGCTATAAATTTTTCCTTCTAACCTTTTGACAAAAATAATATACTCTGAAATATAGACAGATCAAAGTAAACACTGAAATTTTCTAATATCCCTGCTTCTAATATGAACTGTGCACACAATGACGAGAGAGATAGGAATCTAAAAATTATTATAAGATTAGTGATTAATTCAAATGAACAATTAATTAGTTACATTCTAAATAAACATATTTACATGTTTCACTTTTTAGATTAAAGAAGTAGAAACATTTTAACTCTTCAATAGCTTTAATAAAAAATGTTATAGAAATTACAAAGGAAGCTCATAAAGTATTATAAACATTATAAATATTTTATGTATAGTATTCTATAACGTCATTTTAGAAATCATATATTCCTTATAGGTAAGAATAATTTGATAGAAACCGTTATTTATCGTTTTTATTTACTAAAATAACTTGTTAATTTCTTTTAAGGTTTTATCTAATAAATTTACTCCAATAACTTTAGAAATATGACATTTTATATGTATTTTATTGACAAGTACAGCCGTCTTTCATTCATAATTCTAGTTATTATATTCACAAAGAGTTAATTGTATAAGCTTGAAACCACCGTAGCAGCTAAATTCATAGAAGAAAATCTCTGAATTTTTTATTAACCTATTGAATTTACTAAATATAAATTTCGTCTTACTAGATGGAACCAACAAGTTTAATACACTAAATAACATTGAACATAATATCAGTAAACGAGTAAGTTCATCTATCCAGATTTTGAAATATTAAGTGAAAATGTAGTAGTTGTGCGCTAAAGCTATTAATTTTTTCATCACCTTAGGAACGTTTAAGAAATGAATTAATAATCGAAATAGTATTTCTGTTATTGATGTTATAAATATTTCAAATCTTGCAAAATATTCTCCGCCAACTTATTTAATTTTTACACTTGTTTGATAACTCTGACCCTTGTTGTCTGTGAATAATAATAAGGCTATTAGTAAACGAGAATTTTATAAAGGGGTTTGAATAAGTCAAGGGCAATAATCAAAGTTTTAAAAAATGGATAATTGTGTTAATTAACCTTGAAAAGACAAAAAATTTTTATTTATAGATGAGGCATTTTAGTTATAAAGTACTTTATAAATAATAAAGAGAATAACAGTATAATATTAATCGGAATACAATTAATTTTATCATATAGTATGATTAGATAAGAGCCGGTTATCAAGTTGCACTATTTTATTTAAACGTGTGATTTTGTACTGTTAATAGTTATTATGAAAGATTGGAGAGAAGATTGGAGGATTGAAATTAGAGGGAAGCATAAAGGCCAACTGAAATCTCCTTCCTCTGTTTGCTTTACGTCAAATTTAAAACTTGCTGTTGCTGAAAAAAGGAATAAACGTGTTCAGTTATTTGATGATTTTGGTCAAACAAGAGCAATTGTAGATAAATGGGCTGGTTGTGCATTACTGTCACCTACTGCAGTCTGTTGGAATAATAATAAGTTATATATTGCTGATTTATCTAGGATACACGTTTGTCAACAAGATGAAGAGGGAAATTTACAGTCTGTTCAAGTTTCAAATAGGCCTAGTATTTTATTTAAAAATTTATTTCAGTTGTAAATAAGAGAAAAAGTCTTACTTTAAACTATGTAAAAGAGAGGAAAATAAAGCGTCGTATAGCAAATTTTAGACTTTTGTATACATACTTAAAGAGAGCCTATTTCTAACTTTGAAATTCATTACATCAGTATGTTAATGAACGAATGCTTATTTCTGGACGGTTTAACTTCAGTAACAGGTGTATGTGTTACCAAAAATGAGGATATTGTTGTATCAGATTCAAGCATTAAGCCTAAGGTTAAAATATATCGATCGGATGGCAAAGTTTTATCAAAGTTAGAAGGACCATTTAAGCATCCTTACCAGGTCACATCGAATACAAAAACTGATCATATTTATGTAGTTGATCCAAGATTACATTGTATTATGAAATTTGAAGGTATGGGAAGGTATAGGGGATCATTTGGTGCAGATAATCTAATATGGCCGTGTTCAGCTTGTGTAGATAACTGTGGTAATTTATTGGTTTGCGATCGAGCCGATAGAAAAATAAAAATGTTTTCGGAAGAAGGGGCATTTATTGGTAAAGTTTTAGGAAGAGAAGATGGTTTAGTGAGCCCAATTGGAGTATGCGTAGATACAGTTTGTAAAAGTGGAAGATTAGCAATTATAGAAGAAGAATTAAGAACGGGCGGAGAGGATAGAGTTTATCTTAAAGTATTCAAATAAAGCTTTGAACAATACTTTACCGTGTTTTATATGAAGAAAAACTATCATCTTTCAAAGCTAAATATAGACTTTTAACCGACTTTTAAACGATTTATGCGTTACAAGAGAAAGACAGAGAAGTAGTTCTTTTATTTCGTAGTCTGTTTTCTTTTTTTGTTTTCCTTATTTTTTCATCATAAAATAGCATTAAGTCAACACCCTTAAATATTCAATAGCTATATATTCAATAAACAAAAAGATAACAGTTATATCATTCTTGATTTTCTTATTTTTGTTATTTTGAAAATTATTAATGCTAATACACAAAAGAAAATCATATAGGAAAATGAGACTATAAAATTCCTTGCCATACACTTAACGGCTTTTGGATAGAAAATACTCAAATATAAGTTACCATTTGGGTATAAACAGGGCATTGTTGAGTTTATACTACATGTTAAATTCAATCCGTTCAGTTCATTAGCTACTATTATTTCACTTGTATATTTAAATATATTAATCCATCCTGACCACTTCAAAACGTCTATCATTCCTTCTAAACTTCTAACGAATCCTGAACCCATAAGGCCCCCAATCACGAAAATTAAACCTACAAAACAAATAAACAGTAAAATAAATCAACTCCATCTATCGACTATAATACTATTATTCATAACGGTTTCTGATCTCTTCTGAAAAAGCATTTCTACGCCCAATTTAAGATGTCTGAAAGATAAAATAACGCTACCTTTGTTATTTATCCTTCAAACGACTTATTCATCTATTGTTTAGTTTATATCTTCTTTCAAATTAAAAATTTTAATAAACTATGTTACACAGCAAACCTAAGAACAAAAAGCTCTTTCTTGGAAAATAATATTGATTATTACCCGATATTACTATTATAACGACTAGTGCAAAAATTCTATACTAGTTAATGGAAAGTAAAATTTGTAGAAAGGCAAAACAATATTAAAGCTATAAAGTATTTTACTTGTATGCGCGATGTAAAAAGAAGAAAGATTCTATAATATGGAAAGTTTGTTTGTTTACTATCTCTCTTACCTGATATACTATTGGCCACTGCTTCATTCTTAAATACACCCATTAGGGCAACTGCCAAAACCTCACCGGAAAAATGCAATAATAATATAACAGCCCACACCCTTCCAAAACGAAACATTTCCGATTGTAAACCAATACCCCAATGAACCACCGCAGTAAAAATGAATGTAGAAATTAAGTGAAAGGGCAAAATATGGACAAAATATGCAAAAAGAAAGACAGTTGATCCATATAGTCCATCTTTTGATTCTCGTCTAAAGGTCGTTCTTAATGTTGGAAAGAGGGCAACGGCATTAAGGACACCAACATACGGTGGGACTGAGACCAATTGATGGAAGAGTCCATTTCTATCTTGCATAGATTCTTGATTCTTTTTTAATCTTTAAAAGCAGAAAGATATAGTTTAATAAAATATTAATAAAATTATACTATGGCAAGTTATTTAAAGCGCTGTACCGTATAATAAAAAGCCATAGAAAGAAACTAAAACAGGAAAATTGAAAAATTCTCATCAACAAAGAAGGCTTATCCCGTATTAAATTTACGGTCATCCTAGAAAAAAGTGTGGCCCATGTAGCAGCAAATCCCGGAGGATCTAAATACGTCCATGGATTACTAAATATACTCTCTACTTCCAGATCACTGGCCGTGGCTGCGCTTCTGTGAACTTCCGACAAAGTATCCTTAAAAATATTTGAATTTAAGTAGCTTCCATGTAGAGATCTAACTCGGGCTGTAGTGTTACTCTCTCTTACAATATCCCTTCGATCTACGCTGGCTAAATCCACATAATGGTCCAAGGGATTAGCATAATGTGGACACGAATATCCTAAATCCGTAAAGTATGAGACTAGTTGAGACGATGGGCCCATGTAGACCAGTTCACCTGTTTGTTTAAAAGCCGATTAAATACATTTCAAACTGTTTACATTTTCTTAACCTAAAGACAATATTCCAATATGATCAAATAGTCGAAAAATGTCAGACCTGGGCTGATGAATGGTCATTACAATAACTTTGTTGTATTGTTTTGCTAGCTGTGACAAATTAGTTACTAATCTGTTCGCAGTAAAACTATCTAATCCAGTTGTAGGCTCGTCTAGTAATAGAACAACTGGATCACATAATAGCTGACATCCAATGCTAACTCTCCTCTTTTCACCACCAGAAATTCCTCTCTTAAAAGCACCACCAACTTTTGAATCAGCAACGTGTTTTAAACCTATTTCGTTTAAAACTTGTTCAACTCTTTGGGTAACTTGAATATTTTTTGTGGCGCCAGCAAATTTCAATCTTGCAGTATATGTTAAAGTCTCCTTAACAGTCAAGTGAGCTGTATTTAAAAAATTTGATATAGAAAAGCTTATAAAATTATTAGAAATTTGCCTTCAATTCTTTATTCTTTACCTGATAAATGATCATTTATAGATTAGGGAAGAAACGCTATTTTGATGTTAATTCTAAACTATGACTCATAGATTATTTATTCAGCATCTTGCAGTGATAAATATAGGGTGTTATCTAACTAGTTAATCATACTTGTATGAATAACCTGGAGATTATAAGATACCCAATGCAATAATATATATATATATATATATATATATATATATTAGTGTATACCGAATGCATAACTTAGTCAAGTACTAATCAGCTAATTAAAGTTAATATTTTTCATAGTAAAAAAACAATATTTCTTATCTTAAATATAGGGAAGCGTTGTTTTTGTTTACGTTTCTTACCGAGTAATTGATCGTCCTGTAGGACATAGGCTCCTCTTTTGACAAATAGTTCTGGTGTTACCAATCTTCCATTAATAAACGCTCCACCAACAGTTCGACCTTCTGCTCTGCAAGCAACTACATCTAATAAAGATGTTTTACCAGAACCGCTATTTCCAAGCAAGGCTAAAATATTTCCACCTCCGCAATATAAACTAATATTTCTCAAGATAGTACGACTCTTGATGGTATAAGATACTCCTAAAATGCTCAAAGAATATTCCGTTGTGGGAGTTGTAGGAGAACGCATTCTTTTTGTCTTCTACTCTGCTAATCAAGTTTTCCTACTAATACTGAGTCACAAACTGCTTTCTATCATACTATATGTTATACTTTTATCTTATCAGATTAAAATTATCAGTTGATGTGATCTGAAAAAGTACAAGTGTACCAGGCAGGTCTTATTTTCAGAAACTATAAGACATCTTAAACAGACAAGTAAAATCTTTCAGAAATTAACTTTAATCAAAAGTAATAAAAACATTATATTTCTGACATTTTCATTACAAATTCTGTAAAAATTTTATTCCTTTAAAAAGAGATTTATTGGCTGTCTTTAATAAATTTCTTGTGTTATCTGATATTTACAACAGGTTATATATAAACACCTTCTTTTCTCCCTTTTCCGCCTTTTTAAAATATACTTAACGCTAGAGTTACAATCCTGATTGAGATATTTACATAATTAGAAAATGTCATGCTTCAGTCAACCGAGATTTGGGGATATTTTAAGTGTACTACGCTTGGCTTATACACTTATATAGATACGCCCTGTCAGTTTGATTATTTCCCTTTTCTTTTTACGCCTAACTTGAATAATTGAGACATCTTTCCACATCATATATTTTGGGAAATTGACCCTTATTTTACGCTTCAAACGATTAAGCGTCAAACGGTAAAGAAGGTCATTTAAAGCAGAGATGCAAAGATTCACAACAGATGGCGATAGTTGTCCGAATTTTCTGAAACTCTCATCACAGCCAAAGAGCTACGACGAGGAAAGTTGCTCATTTTGAGTTTGGACACGTGAATGACAACTGTAATTATCTTAACAAGTAATGACCGAGGCCTCTAGCTATATTACGCAACACCATAAATGGCTATAAATGTAAATAAGGGTGAATAAAATATAAGCTAATCTTAACATTCTCCTAACAAGAATAGCTATAGCAATATATTTAGCAAAATTTTAATCTACCCAATAAATATATATAGTCTTTCGATAAGGTTCACCGACTAAGGTTAGAGCCAGATGGCGTTGTATCGAACTATGAAAATATTTCTTTTTAATAATAACAATTCTTCAAAAGGGAAATGCATATGATTCTACTCCTCTTTTCTCTATTTGTCTCTCTCTCTCTCTCTCTCGTTTGCTTATGCAGTAGTCATCTTTGCTTAAAATACTCAAGGGAAAAAACAATTATGGAATAATTCTTTACCCCCTTCGGGCAAAGTGTTGAATATAACTTTTTTATGTAGTTTATACAAATTAATATAAATATTTAAATAAATCAAATAATTATTTACAGATGTTTCAAGTTTAATAGGTTCAATAATTTAATTTATGAAGAAGAGCATAGATGGCGTTATGAATTGTAACGAAAAATAAAGATATATATATATAAATGAGAGAGAGAGAGAGACAGAGAGAGAAAGTCAATACACTTAGAGAGGGACGATAAATTCTGAATTACACTTTACGTAATCGGCTCGATTCTCTTCCATAACGGTGCAATCACTTTCAAAAAGTAATTTCCTTTGCCCTCAGCTCTTTTCTAAGTGTAGTCAATCGACGCCTTGCTGTGGCTCACGACGCGTGGCGCCTAGTTTTTCAACAAAATTTAAACTCACTAGGATACTGGCGCCAATCCTCATCTAGTTAATAACAATCTTAAATAAGCCTTACATAATATAAATACAGGTGTATTAAATTGAAGAAGAAAAAACCTAATCAGGTTGTTTAATGAAAAAGCTAATATATATACATATATAAAGGAAGAAGTAGTCCCCTTGTATTTAATGTTATATAATGAGCATGTGATTTATTGCACTTTACCGCTAAACTGTTGGGAAAATTTTTTAAGAACAAAAAGATTAACCCTGAAACTCCCTTAGCTCCGTAAAATGGATAACATGAGAACAACCTTTCGGTTTTACCCCTTTTTCTTTATTAATTATAGTAATTAAACTGTCCATATCTCAGTCTATCTCCCTCTGTCTTTCTGTATTCTATCTTTCTCTCTTTCTCTTTCTCGTTCTCTCTTTATCTCTGTCTAGCTGTGTATCTCTTCCGCTTTTTTCCCAATCTAACAACGTACTTAATATATTAACTAATACTATTATGAAAAATATTAAATTTAACAAATAAATCTTTAAAAAAAAAGATAAAAAAAAGCAAGGACATTGTATAAAACAACATAGGAATGTCAAGTAAGTGGGAAATTTGAAACCTAAAAAAAAGATTCCGATTGACAATCATTTCATAAAATATTGCTTTCGTAAACTAGAAGTTTCATTTTTTTGATTTTCTCTATAAGAGAGAATATAATATATTTTGTCATAGCCTCTAATAATATCTTATATATAATACAATATATAATACGTATGTAATGTTTCGTGATAAAGGCTTCATATTGTTTTTTTATCACGATAAATTGGAAAGATTGAGTAATGTTAGAGCAGACTGTTAAGGAACAGAGTCGTCAGTGACGAAATTCTCTTTATATAAAATTTTATCTACTCCGTTGAAAGAAGGTGATAAAGGACAAGTTTAGCTGTTTATAGCTGCTTTAAACATTTCTTCTTTTTTATACTCTATAAATGGCGTGTATTATACAATAAAGAAAATTCTACCAGAAGGTTACGATATTCTTCATTCTTTAAAATTATATGGTGGCAATATGGCAATACAGCTGCTGACTAACAACGTAGTAAAGCTTAGCGAAGAGTAAAATATCAACTTGGTTATTGTTTAGCCATTCTCTTCTCTCTCCCTTTTTTTTTACCTATAAAAAGTAATCATTAAGTATAAAATGTAAAGTTTATGCCCTTAAGGATTATGTTGTTATTATGTTTTAGGAAATTATGAAACTTTATAGTGAAACCAAATGCTACAGTAATTTTCTATTGTAACATACCATATTTATTATCATATTTTTGCCGAATACAGATGGCAGCACTTTAGTAACTGATAACTTATTCTATAATCAGAATTTTTTATAGTGTGTAGTATGTTTGCAGGTGTTGTATTAATAAGAGTGTATCCTGTAAACATTGCTCACATATATACACTATAGGCACAAGTATATAAGATATATATATATATAAATTTATAGACTTCTTTGTACAGTATAACTACATTAATGTAACTTTTATTGAAGCGCTGTTGGAAAAAAACTTCGTCAGATTTAAACAATTCATGAAAAGTTTCAGACTAGTAAATATTTGCGATTTGTTCGCAGAAACGGTAGAGATAATTACATTGACCGAGAAAATATATATTTAATGACGTCACACGAAAATAAAAGCAACGCAGGGGCGGTCGCTAATCTAGTTTAGCGATTCCTGCCTTCTTTCTCCGTAATAAATGATGCTTTTAGAATTATCTCGTCCGGAAAAATTTCGTGGATGCATTATCAATTCGATACGCTATCGCCTCTCGAGCAAAACAAATACGATATTATTCTTCCCCCAAAATAGTCTCCGCCCACTAGCACTCCTATTGGCTATCGCGATTGCGTCATAACCAATAAACTCTAAGCGCTGCTGGTTCATCCTGTCGACACACGCAACTTGACACTTTTGTTTTGTGTTTAATTTTATACGCTCTTCGGGTCGTTATGGAGACGGAAGTTGAGGGGAAGAAATCAAATAATTTTACGATAGCCGCTTTGATTGGGGAAAAACGATGTGCTGACGAATTTTCTGACAATATCGAACCGTTAAGTGAGTTGTTTTGACAAGATGACTTTTGCTGTGGAGTTTTTTCTATATTAACGATTGTTTGTATGGCGATAAACTTTTTCGCTTTATTCATCCTATAAAAAAAGTGTGGGTAAATCTAAAAATGAACATATATATATATATATTAGTATATATATTATAAGAATTTTGTAGATATGTGCGTATAAATTTACTAATATAGGCTTTTTAAATTGGATATTTAATATATATGTGTAGATAAATAGAGCCGCAGTAGAACGTGATAACAATAGGAGCTTAGAAGAGCTTGCGACATTATCGGGTCGTTAAAGACTACGTAGAATTCGGTTGGTTTGTTAAAAAGAAATTTGCTACTTGGTAAATATTTTTAACAGGACAAGTTACATAAATATAATACTATTACTGTTTCGAGGAATAAAGACAAAAAAGAGTGCATGTTACATGACTTCTATTTATATAAATATCCTTTACTAAGAGGAAACCTTTCGTAAACTATTTACTCGAAAACATCAACGTGTAATGGGTATATTGCATTGGTTTGATAACAAGCACTAATTAAAGGCCCAAAATCTTATAGATGAGTTAATTGTTAGTTAAAGGGTTCCTTTAACATTCTTAATTATAGTCCAAGCTACTTTAAATATCTGAATCTCGTATAAACATAAAAAGTCATTGTTATTCTTTCTTTATCAATTATTTTTTTTGTTTAAAAAAACAAACAAACATAGTATTAAAACAAAATAAAAATTTAGTTTACAACTGATAATACACTGTATATCTTGTATATATAATATATAAAAATATCTATTTTGAAAATGGAAACTTGTTTACATTTTCTAAAGCCTAGAAAGCAATTCAAGTTGATAAATATACTATATTAAACAACTTTTTCCGATTTATCAGCAACTAAGTTGGTTTAATTTAAGGATATAGATACGGCATTTATATATATATATATATATATAGTTAAATCTTTTTAAGATCAGAAAAGACAAGGTAGATAAGTCACTAAATCATTTAGGATTAGTAAAGAAATATTGTTAAAGGGATACCGTTAATAAGTGTTCACAATTTAGAGAGAATAAAAGGTAGCTGAAAAATCAAGCTGTCAAAGAAATATCTATTAGAGCCAATATTTTATAAAAGACTTGTATATAGCTTTTTCTTATAATACTCATTTAGAAACTACTTTAGTCCTTAGGTATTATTCAAAAAAATTTTGCGCCAATAATAATTATAACAACAGCTTTTAAGTATTTAAAAATACTGTTTATTTGTTTTATTGTATGTATTGCACGCATTATTTGTATTGGGCATATTAGCCCTCAAGAAAATTGACGGAACATGTGGTGCTATAGCTTTAATCGAGTTAAAAAGCGTCGAGTATAGCCGTTGATTGAACGCCTTTTTTGAATAGGAAAAACCTAAAATGCCTCCAGGTCTGATGTGTCAAAAGGCTAAACTATATAGGATCAGTTGCGAAAGTGGCACGGCTGTTATTGTCGAGAAAACTAACTCCATTTGTTCGATACTGATAAACATCTGAATCTGTCGAGAGCCGTGAGCGTGAATTGAACGCGGCGCTGATAAATGATCGTTTTTAACCTTCTTGAATTAAGAATTTCCTTTCTCACCAAGCAAAGAATAATTATAAAAATATCAGACAGAAGTGTGTAGAAACATTTATTTCTACATTCAATCTCACCCCCCGTCTAACTTCCTTCTTTCCCCGCCTTTCCTCGCCTTTTTTTTATTTTGGGCTTCTATTCCCTTTACTATTCAATTAAATTGTTTAAGAAGAAAAAAGAATTTAAAAGCGATATCTTACCTGTCTATTAGTGTAATAGAATTTGTACAAGGATTAAAAATATCGGCTAGATTAATTATTTGTAGAAGATTATATCACCGATTACTGTTAAGTTTTAGTTTTGATCTTGAAATTATATAAAGTATTATTGATTAATCAGTTTGCCTTTCTTTTCTCTTATATAATAATATTTTTTCAGAAAAACTAGTCGAAAATACAGGTGAAAATGATGAAACCGAGAAAAACTCTTGTATTAGTTCTGGTAGCGAAAAGATGGTTGGAATCAAATGCAAATTGGAGACAATAGAATTATGGGAAAAATTCCATGAACTCGGAACGGAAATGATTATAACAAAGTCGGGAAGGTAAACAATTTTTCCTACCTATATTATAGTATGAGGTCACATGTTGCACGACGGCTGTTAGCGGGAGTTAAATAGAGAAAGGGTAGCAGCTTGTTTTATAGGTAAAATAAATGTTGAAGAATTTATTCGAGAATAATTCATGGTATATTTTTTATAGTGCAATTTAATGAGAGATGAAGTAAAAAATATCAATAAAAACACTTTTCAATAAATTTTCACTGAATAGATTAAGATTTTTTTTTCATAAAATCTTTCTCCTTTCACTCATTCGGCCTCCCTTTTTTTACCTCTTTTCCGTTCGAACAAAATGTTAATTGATTTAAACATGAAAAGTATTCATCAGTTTTATCAAATAAAAAGAGAAATAACGACAAGAGATAGTAAAAGAATAAAGAAGTTTGAGAGAGGAGGGAGGGGGAAAAAGAGAGAAAAGAGAAAACCGCTTGAATGTTATCGAATTAGCATCTTACAATAGATTCTTTAGATAAAATTTAGTGGTTTTCTGATATATAAAAATGGTTTTTTTTATACCTTGAATGTTTAAAATTGAAATAGAAACTTACTTAATAGTTAATTAAAAAAATGTGTAGAAATTCATATCTTTAACTACTACAAAGCGTATTGTATAAATTTAAAAAAAAGCTGGAGATCTATTTAAACCTGAGGTGTATTGGTATAAAATACACGTCAACAAAACATGTCAACAACGTCTGTTCCACAATAGATTTGTGAACTTGTATTTACACATTAGAAGTCAATATAGAGTTGAATCGCGCTATAAAGTCGGGACATTTTTCACCTGCTTAACAATAGAGTCTTAGATATAATTGTCAGCAGCGTCAATGTGCTAAGGTTTTGATCCGTTTTAGAAGTCGATTTATCCAAAAATTGGGTCTTGATTAGGTTGATATAGCAAAGAAATTTGTCGAGTAAACTAGGCAGTAGGCGGTAGGCGTGTTCGATTTTTCTTTGGAAGAAAAAAAACGAGAGAAAAAAAAAGAAAAAGTCAATTGTTGTTTTTAAGTTAAGTGCTCTTTGTGATTTATTTAATGATGCGCAATCCGACGATCGACGCCGCGTGACGTCAATTTCTTACGCAAATCTTTTATGGTGTTATAGCGTAACTATTATATGAGGGTAAAAGAGCGCGGAATCGGGTGTGGCGAAGAGTAGAGTGAAGGAGGTAGAAAAAGAGATAAGAAATGGGTAGAGGGGACAATTGCTATCAGCTCGTTAGTGATACGCACTCAAGATAGGATAAACAAGCTACATTACATATTCATCATGTGTCAAAGTTCAACAACTGTACAACGCAGTTTTCGTCATACATTGACAAAGATAATTCTCTATACGCATTCTTCCTCAACAGGCGGATGTTTCCAACGTTACGCGTTTCCTTTGGAGGGAAGGGATTATTAAATAACGAAAAGTATTCCGTCCTCCTCGATATCGTCGCAGTGGACGCAAAGCGTTACAGATACGCTTATCATAGATCGTGCTGGCTAGTTGCCGGAAAAGCGGATCCCGCCTTACCCAATCGGTTTTATCCTCATCCAGACTGCAATATTATGACTGGAGAGCAGCTATCAAAACAATCAATTTCATTTGAAAAAGTTAAATTAACCAACAACATGTTGGACAGAAATGGACATGTAAGTGTTAATCACTTTAAGCAATCAAGTAATTTTATCTGAATTGGTTGTTTACATATCTTGTATTTCTTTTTAAAACAGATTATGCTGAATTCTATGCATAAATATCAGCCAAGAATCCATCTAGTGAGGCGGAAAGAGGGAGAAACGAAGGCGATAAAGAACCTCGAGGGCGAAGAGTACAGGACATTTATTTTTCAAGAGACAGAATTTATTGCAGTGACAGCTTATCAGAATCAATTGGTAAGAATCTCTATAGCCTGTTTTTTCACTCCATTCTTCTCTTTCATACACTTGACTTTCGCTTTAACAAATTAAATAGAATACTTGTGAAAGAAAGAGAGAGAGAGAGAGAGAGAGAGAGAGAGAGAAAACAAAACAGCATAGATTAAAACAAATACTTAGAAAGAAAAAAAGTGAAAGAAAACAGATTATATACAAATGTATTTGAATACTATATAAAAACTATAAGACTATTCTATTAAATATACAGTCATCGATCGACTTTTAACCGCTTTTTCTATTTTTAGATAACAAAACTAAAAATCGATAGTAACCCTTTTGCCAAAGGGTTCCGTGATTCGACTCGGTTGAGCGACAATCATGACGCTGATGGAGCGAAAATATCTTTAGCCTCAACGAATCTTTTGCAGACTCCTTCCTTCGCAGAAACTGGTAAGATTTTGTCACGCTCTTCTTTCTGACAACCATCAATCATTATCTATATGCTAAAGATGTATACATCCTATTACTAACAATATGGCACTGTGTATGCTCTTTGTAAGAACCTTGTTAAGTTGTTATTGTTAATTTCTTTACTTTTTTTATTTAATTAGGTTTAATAGTTACAAATTAACTTTAGAGCTATCCTTGCAAACTACATTTTTTACAAAGTAGTATACTATTCTCTGAAGTATATGCATGCTTATAGTTTATCAGACAAAAGCATGGCCTTGTTTTTCTAATGTTAGATAAAGATATGCACATCTAGCTATATTGTCTTATCAGTAAACTATACGGTGCAGTTTGTACTTATAAATCTCTATAAGGGGCGTCTGGTTTATCTTACTGTTACTATCAATTAAGACAAAATGCACTCTCGTATTTCCATATTTTTAATATTCGTCTAAACAGTAGAGTGACACTTTTTCATCAATAATGTTAAATAAGCATTAATATATCTAGTCTATATACCCACCGAGACGATCCCTTGTCCATTGTATTTAAAGTCTCATCACGCAACTAAGCAGCTTTTCTTTTCTTATATATTTCTAGATGCAGAAGCCTATGCTAATTGGAGGCAACTCAGCAATTTTAATTATCTACCATGGCCCTACGGTGCAACACTGGCAGAAAGGTCAAGGTCCCTGGCAGCTCTTTACCACCCCTTCTTTTGGCCTCATCCTACTGATCAGGAGGAAAATAACTCATCTTCATCTCATCGTTACCATCCCTATTTATTCAAATGACCATGAAAGAATTAAACAAAAACTTTAAAGTAAATAAAAAAGAACTCTTTTACAAAAAAAAACTACACAGTCGATTTAAAACCGATTCACCATTCAAGTCGCTCAGCGTGAAATTCACGTCGCCGGCGGTTGTTTACGCCGCAATTTCTTCCCCTTAGGAAGCGTAAAAATGTATTTACAAAAGGCGCAGCTTTCCTATACTTAAACTATAAAAATTTTTGGGCAAGGTGGTAGAAAACTGGTCTGTTATATATTTCGTTTTTTCTTTTATGGCTTTCAGCATGGCTCTTTTAAAGTTTTATCATTTAAAAACAATGGATAAAAAGAGAAATTACTTTAATTTAAAGTTATTGGCTATTTGTTTTTTATCTTATTTCTGACTAATTTATTACTGTAAGATGTTTCTGTTATGAGAAAAACTTATTCTTACTTACTTTTCTATCTCTCTTTCCCTGCATTCTCTCTCTTTCTCTCTCACTCTTCCTATTTAACTTACTCAAATCTTTACTCTCTTCCTTCCTTCCTTTCTTTCAGCTCTTTTCTCTTTCTCTCCCTGTCTCTCCCTTAAAAAAAACTAAGAGGGCTGTGATAAGTCTTAAGTACAATATAAAAAAATTTATTTCATCATTATTCAGTAGTGTATATTCAAATTAAATTAATTTATTACTAAACATTTGTTGCAAAAATTGAATGAAAAGTAAATAATTTATTATTTTTTATGCAACTTATAAAGACTTTTGTTTTCTGTTAAAAACGAAAATTATATAATAATAAAAAATTGATCGAGTTTATTCAATTGTTTTTTATTCTTTATATTTATTATACATTATATATTCTTTATATACTATTATATTTTAACTTTAATCCATTTTGAACTATCGAAACGCCACCTTACGTGTTTGTTTAAAGAAAAAAAAAGAATATAAAACAAACAGAAGAGCAGACTGCCGCAAAATCGCCCTTATCATGAGTGCCGATCGAGTGAATATTCCACCTCTCAAATTGCCGCTTTCGACCGCAATTTCTCGCCGATTATAGAGCAATGAGAAAATTTACATTGTATAAATAAAATGTACAGGACAAATGTTAAGTATTAAAATAAGAGGATAATAGGCCTACATTTGTCCAGCGGCTGGCGTGAAATTGCCTGCTCAGACAGGCGAAAAACGACGGAGTAACGACGTTTGTAAATATACACGCTATTTACATGTATATCTATACAGTTTATTTCTCAAAGTTATCAGTCATCAGTTTAATGAATATTCATTAGCGTTTATGACTTTTCAACGGCCCCAAAGGTGTAAAAAGTCGACATTGAATGCATCGGCGAAGCATGTTTTGAAAAAAAGCTTTTAACTTTTTTTTTTACCTTCTTTTCTATATTCCTAATCGAATTTTGTAAATTATTGCCGAATCATATCAAAGTTCAAAAGTAGTTAATAATCCCAACCGAAGCAAAACTACTCTCAATTATATCAAAAAAGTTTGATTGACTGAGATTTATCGGTTAGAAAACAAGCTTTACAAACTTTGATCTCTCTTTTTTTGTCTTTTGTACAAGTTTTATAAAATTTTGATTTCTCTACATAGCCTTAATAATTTCTTCTATTTATCTACTCTGAATAGTTAATATAAAATTCATTAATTATATATTCATAACGTTGATATCTTAAGAAAAATCTCTTAGTTGTTGATACAAAAAATAATAAAAGAAACTCATTTTTCCATAAAAACAGCCATCTGTTATTCTAGTTTTTCTTTCTCTCCCTCTCCCTCTCCCTCTTTCTCCCTCTCTCTTTCTCTCTTCTCTATGTCTCTTTCACTCTCCTAGTCTCTTGTAATTTGTTAGGGGAAGAAAAATCACTCTGATACGCTTAACTAACCGTATTGCGACACTTTATAAACAAATAAATAATTAGATAAATTAGGAATAAATTTTTAAGATTAACTTTAAATGGAGCAGGACTATATATTTATTTTGAGAGAAGACGTCACCGAGTAAATAAAGCGTGCAAACAAACCGACGCTTAAGTATGCAAAGCTCGTCGTGCCCTTATCGGCGTTACGATGACCATTGGGCAGCGTTTCGAATATATTTCATCTTATCTAAACTGCATCTGCGAAGCGGCGTTCTGACGCGTTTGCAGTTCGTTGCAGTTTATATTCCGGCGGCGCGTTAAGCGTTACTAATTCGGCGTTCTGTCGCTAAATTGGTGCACAATCGCCGCCTTGTTCTCCATTTTGTCGCCCGTTCAATTAATCAAATCGAAACGAGAGTTGATTTTGTTTTTGCTCTTCTAACGAGCTTAGAATCGAATTAGAATAATATGGTAAGGGAAATGTTTTATAAGCAAGTCCTCTAATTCTTCCTTCCTATCTATTTAAAATAAGCAAAGAATTTTTATCTATTCTTTTGATTAATTAACTCAGTCCAAATATAGTAACAAGAAAAATGGAAAGAGCTAGTTGACTGCGCCGACACTGGCCAGCGGCGCGAGATGAACAGATAAAGGCGACGTTTCGCGTGACGGTCCGCTGACCGGATTCGTAATTTGCTAGAGAAAATCCGACGCGTAACTGACGTTGGGCGAAAAATCGAAGCGCCTTGTACACATAAACACTTTCTGTTGGCAAGAGATTTTTCCCTTAATTACTTTAAAGAAATACATTTTCAACCTTTATCAATGACCTCTACATTTTATTGGAATAAAATTCGCTATTCAATCAGCTACGGTTTCACTATGAATAAAGTGAACCTTCCTTATCAACTTTATGCATAGGCTACTCTATCTACATACAAATCAATAGAATTGGCAACGAGAGTAAAATAATTATTTTTCCTTTTCGCGTACCTTTTATGTATTCGTTTAATAAAGCAAGTTTTTTTTTAATATTAACATTAATATACAATATATGCAAATTTAGATATATACATATAGAATATACATGTTTTAGATCATAAAAAGAGATATAGAGAAATCTAGATATCCAAGAGAAGAGAAATTTACATATTCATATATATATATATATATATATATATATGCTTGTTTACTGCATATACATTTAATCTTAATTTTTTTTATACATGTTATGCATATAATATTTATAATTAATTGTTTCTATGCAATGAAAAAATTAGACAAATAGAAACTAGTTGATTAAAAATATTGAAAAAAACATTAACAATTTTAAAATGTTATTGCGTTGCTTGAGTTGAATTTTCTCCCGAATTTCTCTTCACTTGACCGGTTAAATATGGATGAAACCTGGAGTAAGGAGACTGATAAATAGAGGAAGGAAATGCGTGCAGGGAGAGGAGGTTATTGTAGAACGGAAGTGAGGCGATTAACGGGAGTCGTGGTGGCCTATATAATAGAGTTGCAAAAGCTCTCTCTTCAACTGGAGAAAAAAGTTAACATTAAAAATTATTAGAAAAGAATAGTAAATGAAATAGTATTATAAAGTACAATAAATCTACGTCAGAGATCTTTTTCAAGCTTAAAGTGCAACTGGAGAATTAATGTTAACCTCTTACCATTCATCGAACTAATGTTACTCCATCTATTATTTGAGTTGATTTACAGAAAATTTATGTGCAAAATTACAAGGTGCAACATGTTTATCTGTGCTTAAATCCTTGATTTATTTAATCTTATTTATCTTAACTTTTTCCAAACAGTTTCTTTTTGTGAAGCGGATCAGAGCAGTCATTGTTTGGATACTGTTATAATAATTCTCTCTATTACTGAATACACGAAAATCCTTTCTGATTTTCACTCGTCAGCGATAGTAAATGGGTTTGTTTAGAAGGGAGGGGAGAGAGGTAGGGGGCGGGGGAGAAAAGGGTAGTGGAAAGAGAAGAAAAAAGACATAACTGTTTTTGTATATATAGAGTAAACTTAAACTACATATTTTAACGGACAGCCTACAGAGCCAAGATCGTCAATTTCAAATTACGTTACCTACAAAAAGTCTGCACCATAAAATCGTCGTTTCAAGAATGCGCTTGTATACATAAACTAAGCATAAAATCTCACGTCTGCTTCTCGTGCATTCTTTAACTAACTCTTACTGGTTTCAACGCTTCTATTTTATCTACAAAGACAAACTAACTTACGCTCGTTGCGCGGACTAGTATTAGGCGGTTAGAGAGGAGAAAATTTTTTTATCTTACCTTTCGGTTCTTCGGCTCGATATGCGTGGTGTAGAGCTGATTCCATACTTTCTCTATTTAAACGAGAAAAAAGAAATTATTGGAAAAGCAATCAATAATTGTGACGTTAGGAGCAAACGTTTTCAGCCAATAAAATAAATTTTTTAGTAATTTATATTTCATGATAAGCTTTTTGTTGAGTTGCCTAACACCTGTTAGGGTGTGATGTATTTGGCCTATAAACTGCTTTTCAATCTTTTACCAATCAATTTTTCAAGGCTATTAAAATTAGCTATGGACTTAATTAATGTTTACAATATATTTATATGTTTTAAAAAGAAAGAGAAAATATATCTAATTATCACTAGACCTATAAAATAAAAATAAAACTAAAGCGAAAGAGTGAGATTTTTAACATCAAAGTCTAACAGGCAGGCTGTGAATTTGGTACTACTGTATGGGAATTGTAAGTAGTCAGAGCACAGCACTCAAACGAGGAACGAATGTTTAAAAAAAGACGTAAACGGAAACGAGGTCAGCCAATGTTTTTTCAATGAGATAGAAAAGAGAAAGGTATGCTCCCAAAGCAATATTTACCGACAGCTAGCAACAGTTGTTGACAGAATTAGAAGCGGTCGGCAAAAGGTCTTTTTAATCTGTCCACTATTTATAAGTGGAGGAGTGGAATCTGCATCGAATTTCGCGAGAGGCTACTTTAAATGAAACTCTAAAGTAAAAAGAGCAATTAACAGATGAGATAAGGAAAACGATTGAAAACTGTGAGAACTTTTAAGCTTTCTCCGTTTCATGCTCAATTAAGGGTCAAGCCTATTTTTTACTAAATTGATAGAAAGACTATAAACTTCTCTCTATTCAAGGCTTGAAGGTTTCAAATATAATGCTAATATCATCGTACAAATGAACATAGAAATTCAAATTTTTTAAAATAAGGTAAAGAGACCAATCTATGTTTTTTCGATTCCACTCAAACCTTTTGGATTGAAATAATGATTTCTCTTTGTGATTTTCAATTATTATTACGTAATATTTAATTTTTGCTAAAAATATTAAAAATAATTATTAAAAGGTAATTGGGCTATAAATAGCTGTAAAGTCCCCCTTTTTTCACAGATACCTCGAAATATAGTATAATCTACTGAATATATAAATATATTTCTCCCTCTTTCGCTCCATGCAATATTTCTGACACGAACGATTTAACGCTATACAAATGACGACCGAAGTCTTTTAAACTCGTAGTCAGATGGTTAAGTGTGAACCGTTGAAACATTACTTCATGGCTTGTTGCATACTCTGCAATGGGGATTTGCCTCCACAGATTTTCGACAAGAGAGTTTCTTAAGAAAAAAAAATCGGCAAATATGTTTTGTTGATTGGAGCTCGACCAGACTTAAAGTCTCTATCAATAATCAACCCCTGTTGACTGTGACTGGATTGGATCAAGAGACTCTTCCGGGGCCATATATGTGTTATCTAATAATACGGCTATAACGAAAACATGAGCGTTGTTTAGGCGAAAATTCGATTGTATATTGCCTTAAAAGAAAGCTTACGTTGTTTAGTACTTTGTTAAGGGTATGGTCGAAAAGAGAGCTTTGGGAGGCTCCAACGGATTTTGCTATACTAGAGCAGGATTATGAAAAATTCTCAAAGGAGTCGAGCGTCGAATCGGTCAAGAGCAATAGAAAATCGGCGCCGATTTGACAAGATAAGAAGTAGTCTTTGTTAGTTCGTTGAATTTGAATTGCTACAGATCATAGAATTAATTCCATGTACCCAACCAAAATAAAACTTAAATGTTAAAGGTCAGTTTATATACATTTCTACGGCGTGTGGGGAATAAAGTAGGTTAAGTGTGGTTTGCAGTCGATGCAGCTGTGTTTATGGCGTTGGCAAATCAACAAGACGGACTACGCTTTTTATGATGTATAATATTATGGTTGACTGGGATAAACAAACCTGTCTAATTCCGTCAATCTGGACGAATCTCTGAAACCTTTTGCAAACGGATTGCTATCTATTTTCAACTTGGTTATCTATAAAAACATAAAAATATTCCGTATTAGCTTAGACGTATTTTTAATTAAAGAGAAAAGCATAGTGTTTGAGAAATTAGTTGAGATATATAGACTAACCAATTGATTTTGGTATGCTGTAACTGCGATAAAAGTTGTTTCAGGAAAGACAAATGTCCTATACTCTTCACCTTCCAGCGATTGTAACGGAGCGCAGCAGTTAGGTTTACGCTTAACGACGTGCACTCGCGGTTGATATTTGTGCATCGAATTGAGAATGATCTGGAATGACAAGGATTATAAAGATTAAAAAATCTCTGATAAGATGGGTGGTACGGTTACGATTAATCAAATTTATAAAAGATTAATATAGAAAATATTAATTTTTAAGCTATCTGGAAAGAAGGTTTAGTTAACTTACATGTCCATTTTTATCCAACATGTTATTGGTTAATTTGACCTTTTCAAATGAAACAGTTTGTTTCATAAGTTGTTCACCAGTTAGTGTTGAATCAGGATGCGAATAAAGACGGGTAGGCAAAGCTGGATCGGCTTTACCAGCAACTAACCAACATGACCTATGGTAGGCGTATCTATAACGCTTCGCATCCACCGCGACAATATCGAGTAGAACAGAATATCTACAATCCATTTGCAGATTTTCACCGCTGAACGAAGCGCGTAACGTGGGGAACATTCGCCTGTCGAGAAAATTGCTCTTAATCTCCTTAGAACATTTAACGAACCGCTAATTTGAGTCGGCCCTTATTAGTGGAGAACTAACCTGCCCGTTTTTGTTATTATCATTTCTGTACCCAGCTCATGGAATTTATCCCACAATTCTTTTGTTTCAAGCCGACATTCTATTCCTTGTAGAGGCCCCTCTTCCAAAGTTCTGGAGGGTGACGGAGAGCTTTGTTGTTGTTCCTCTTCTTCACACTCTTCAACAGTTTGTTCTGAATAATTGTTAAGATATTTATTGTTAAAAATTTGATAAACTATTAAGAAGTGAATGCATTCAAACAATGTCCCTCTTTAAAAATAAATATTTATGTGACATCTCTACAAAGCTTTCAGTAGTCATCTTTACATGATCAATTGAGAATGTGCCTGCAAAAAAAGTAGTAAATGCCACTTGACTTATGGGGTTATATATTTAGCTATATTTCTCTCTTACAGGTGCGTATTAAGAAGATAATTATATAGTTCTTGTACGAATACCAATTGTTGGTTCTCAAATCTCCCTTCCCGTCCCGTTTAATAGAGCTTTAGTATGTTATTTTTAAAATATTTTATATACAAAAAAAACACAGAAAAAACTGACTACAGCCGATTATAAGAAATGTGGCAAATGTGACGTTCAAATACAAAATGAGCAGTCTTCTTTTTATACCTATGCATGCATGATTGAAAGATCAAAATGTCAATTTACCAAATATGGAGCTTTCATACATATTTCACGGATGTCAAGAGTATACTAAAAACTATTTTTCGTCATAGAAAAATATTTGTATATCAAAATCTATTATGAAATATACAGTCTATCGTGTATACTTATACTCTTAAAGAATGCGTGTATGTTTACTGAATAATAAAAATTTAGATTAATTGTAAAATATATAGATTTTCATATAAATAACAACTTGAATATATTATGTATGGATTGTATACAATATAAATAGTATGCATTAAATGTATTTATTATTATATTATACATTCAACAATGTATACATTATTTTCATAAATACTCTTTTAAAAACTAAAGAAAGGGTGTATGTGTAAAAACATAACTATACGAAAATCTAGTTAGCCAAATGATTAGTCTCGAATGCGCAAGCACGTATTAAACAGCAACCGAACACGGCGCGAAACAAATACAACTCTTTGATATAGAGGAATAGTTTATACGAGCTGATTATATTGTTTATTCTGACATGGCTTTTCATGTTCTTTTACACCACATCTTTTACTTTAAATGTATAAATTATCAGATTTATTTTCACACTGTTATTTCTTTATATAAACTAGATATTTTTCTATATACATATATATATTTTTACTCTGTAGAATTCGCTTAGTTCATTGCTTAAAACATTCTTGTTATATTTAAAGAAAATGTATTTGTTTCTTTTTTATGTCATTACTTAAGAGGGGAGGCTGTTTTTACATTACTAATACGCTATGCATGTTTATCGTCTCTACCTTCATCTTTCGACTATGGAAACCATCAAATATGTTGCCTATTCATCTCTTCTAATAAATTTAACTATAAATGTTTATTCTAAACTGTAAAAGTTCATTTGCATAATATACAGTAAGGAAAAACTTTGCGCGTTTGTCGTTCTGGGTCGATGACTACTAAGTGCCATTTTCGCGTCAACTTAGTTACGCCATATAAGCTTTACATGTACATATAGAACTAGCGTAAAACAATGGAACAATTTGTCAAGTACTTACCGACTAACTCTTCTTCATCTTCTTCAACTTTGTTCTTATCTTCTCCCATAATGGCTGCTATGCTAAAGGCGCTTGCCTTAGTCGACAACTTGGGAGAAGAAGTTTGAGAAGAATTCGATGGTACAATATCTGCCGTCATATCGTTTAGCTACGGAGACTCGAGAGCAATTGACCGGCAGTTGGATCGCTAGGCGGTGATTGGTTGACGGATGAATGACGTCACGAAGCTTTGGCGCATACATTAGCGACTTAACGAGTTGACGACTGGGAAACAGCTTTCCTATATTTGTATTACAAAATCTTATTGCTGTTTATGCAAATGAGTATCTGTATATAAATGTATAACAATACGTAAACAAATTCAAGTATATTAGCACTCGAGAAAGAGCAGGGCTGTTTGTACAATTAAAAAAACCAAGCTAAATGTATATAAATAAACAAAAAGAGTACTCATATTGGTATATTATACAAACTATATACTTCATGTATCAGTACACTATATATATATATATACACAATATTAAAAAGTATATCATATAGATCACTTTTACCACATTTTAAAAAAAAAGCACAGCTAATTGGTATGAAATCAGAGATATTTCTAAAGAAGAATAAAACTCAATTAACCTTTTAAGAAGCTAGTTAGAATATTTAAATTTTGACCATATAATTACTATAGTTCATTTACCTGGTGAGTTGTAATGTAATGTTGCATCTGTCCTGCGGGTTTAAATTGAAGGGAAGGTGTATTTTGGCATTTAAATACGTTTTTTAACTTTTGAATAAAGTAGACCGGAGTTTTTTAAACACGGCTCACAGCATGTTCTGCCAGAGACTTTTTTTCTAATATATGTCACGCGAATGTAAAGATAACAATGAAAGAAAACATTGGTACTCTTTTCTCTCTTAATTATGATAAATAGTTTGGTTGCTTGTGTATTATGGATAAATTCAAATATAAAACGGATATATTAACGCAACTTTTAATATATATTACATCTGTCGTGCGGGTTCAAATTTGAGTAAATTAGATGTTTCATGAAAAGCGCGAGTTGAGAAAATGATAGGGTTTTTCAGTAATCGTGGCGGCAACTTCACGCAGAGTCTGGCTCCGTACTTAATCAAGACTTTATCTGTATAACACGCGTCATTACCGACTATAAACTAGACTGGCCAAAAACCTGACACGCCCGTCGGCTTGCCGAAAAAAATAAACAAAAATGGCCGAAAGCTGACAAACCGTAAGAATGCTTATTTTATTTTACCATAGCAGCTTTTGCATACAGAAATAGAACGAAAATAGGGATTCGCATGGAAAACGTTATGGCGGAAGATAATAGAGAAAAGCGATGAGACGAGAAAATTCTCACGAGTCGGTGCCGCTTAATAACTAGCTTGACAGTTGTGCCACAACACTAAAATCCCCGAGAAGGCGGCGGACGGCCAAAGCTCATTAGTAACTGCATTCTCATCAAACTGTCCGCTTTAATCTGTCTGTGATGTTAGCCAGACGACGTCTTATCTATTTCCGCTTGTCTGCCGATGTTGCAGTTGCTCTCTTGTTTGTTTTTTTACTCGAATGACGTATCAATTATTATGTGGAAAGGGGCGGGCTAAAGAAAACTTAGACTAGTGAAGTGTTTTATGTAAACTTGAGACAAGCAAATATATTTTTATAATTGTATTAGGCAATTAGACGGTTTCCATTTATTTATAGTTACGTTTATATTATAGATGGCGCTATTAAATGATTATTAGTAAGAGTCTAATTAATTTTTCTTATTATTTCATTATAGCTAGACAGTAAATTCCTTGTCGTTTTTTAGTAAATGTACTAAAATAATTAATAAATTAAATAAAGGGAAGCGTGACAAAAGAGTTTTTCAAGAGTTGGTGCTATATGTGTTATATCTGCAATATAAGACTATTCATAGCAAGAACCGATTCGTTGGAACGTTTAAGGAATAAAACACGCGCCGTCAACTTCGTTAAGACGTTAATCCTTCAGCGCACCACCATCGAACAACACTTTGTCCTATTTATCCCCCTAATTCCGATGCGAGTCACTTTTTCACATTTAAATCGAATAGTAGCTCCATCTATCGTCTAGTAAAAATAAAGATATAACACGAGTTCTTCTTGTATTCGTCTGAGGTATCATTAACGTTTCACGTTTATAATCTGAGATGAAATTTTATATCGTGATTTCAGTAGAAAATCCATCAAGATTTCTTCAGGTGTTTCTTTGATGATATTACCTTTCTGCGTTTACTAATTTTTTATACTCAGTATACCCTTCTATTAGTTTTTTTCCCTACTTATTGACGAAAACTTTGATTAGCTCTGATATTTCAATAAAAGAAGAAGAAGAAAAACTGAATAATCATTGTATGATATATTGCATTATTTATTGTATATTTCATAAGGCTTCTTATAGCAAGATTTAGGGCGGTTGAATAAACAATAGAGGGCGTAGCAATATGTAAAAAAAAAACGCATATACGTCCATTAAAAAAGAGTACGCGTTTATTGCATACGCATATAGTATATGAGAATATATACCAATTTATATATATATATATATATTAATATATATACTGTATATATATAAATATTCATCTTTTCTTCAAGTGTTGAAATTCAACAGTACCTCTTTATTGCTATTAATAACATATAGATTTTAGCATTATTAACTTTTAATATCAACACGTTTATATATTAATTTATGATTTTTTCTGGGTATATAATACAAAGTTATTATGGCACTTATGAAGTACTTCCGTTTCAGATATACAATCTATTGCTTTCTTCTTAATTTTACGGATGGAATTATTTGTTACGACGATTCTTTACTGATCATATTTCTAATGATAAACTGCTGGAGAGTGCCATAATAAATGTGGTATACGTGATCTATAGGACAATCACTCGCTCACCATCACAGCAAATAGACTTTTTATTTTCCATTTGAGGTTATTGATATATCAACAGATGGCGCTATTTAGAGTAGGTGTGACAATTTACCTTTGTCTAGTTAGTTTTTGTTGATGCAGATTTTATAAAGAAGTCGTTAAATTTTTAAAGAAATCTGAAAATGAATGATATATATCCTTCACTATACAGATTTCTCAATCATTTTCAGCTCCTAATGTAAAACCAATAAATAGCTGTTTATTGTCTTTTGTCGATAACTATTTCATATGTATAAGAGAAAGGAAATGTGAATTTTTAAAAACTTTTCCACTTTTAACTATTGTAATTTATATAAGAATTATGAAAAAAAAAAACAAAATAATGACTTTTTTATTAAAAGGTTATAGTTTGTCATGAAAGTTTTATTAGGTGTCTAGAAAGCGAATTCTGTCACCTAAGAGAATATATTTTTATGCGTTTATTCTTTATTTGTTTATATTCTTATGTTTTAAGTAGAATACATTAGATTATATTTATATACATATATATATATATATATTAGAGTGTTCCTTATAAGCTAATATACTGTAGTATTCTTGAATTCTTACTTTAGAGATAAATATGGGAAATGTATTTAAAAGCATTAACATAAATGGTATTTCTGTCAGAAAAATATATAAAATACAATAAAATACTATATTAACAATATAGTTATTAAAGATTTCTTTCCTTGTTTTTACCTTATTTTCCTTTAGTAAGCATATAAATATAAATATACTATCTATATATTGAACTTTTATTCATCTGCCACTAGCATTTCATTTGGTAATATCTTCACTTAATTTTAATTCTTTTTACAATAATTTTCTTTAACATTTTCATTTAGCTTTTATATTCTTAAATTTTATTTATTTATAGATGTAAAATAGGCCTCTAAGCTTGTGACATTGCAACTGTATATTCCGTTTACGTTGATTGTAAGAATATGATAACTGCAATTATAGAGAGAAATTCTCAACATATCGATAAAACAAGAATAAAAGTTTTGGTCAATAAAAAATATTTTTCTAGTTTGAAAGGGAAAATATAGAAAAAAATGAATTGATTGATTAAACAAGAAGATAGAATTCAGTTGTTATTAACGATACAAAATACTTATTTTATACTATTAACAAATAGTACATAGTTCAATATTATTACGAATTTTGATGATTTATTTTCTATCAAATGAATAAATTCGTCAATATTGTGTATACATGGATCTATATATTGTATTTGTACATATTTCTTAAATAATAAATACGTCAGCTATATGCACTTAATATAAACATAATGGTTTAAAAAATATATACGATAAGTTTGAATAATAAAGAAAACTAGATTATAATTTATTTAATTCATGTAGATATTTGAGAAGATAATAATTTGAAGGGTTTGTTGATTGCAATATCAAAAATACCGAGCTATATAGGGAAAGAGTAAACATCATGCTGTACTTTTCCATCTTTATATAAAATATTTTGCGTGACACAAAACACAGGTCTCTATCTGATTTTAAATGCTCTATTCCTCCCTTAAGTTCTTCGAACTAGGATTCGTGTCAATTATTTTCATTTTATTTTCTTGGAAAGAATCCTTAATCGGCTTTATTTTATTTAAATATTTAACGGAAATCTGTTACTAAAAAATATTAGATACAGATTTATCTTTTCGTGAATTTGAGAGAATTCCTTTCCATGATTCACTGCTGATCCCTTTCTCCTCAAGCTATTCATTTTATCTAAAATTATTAATAGACTCTAAAAATCTTTGAGGTTTTATAAAGGAAAGATTTTCTATAGTCTTTCCTTCTTTTTGACCATTTTCAAAGTAAAAATCTAATTGTGCTTATGTATTACGCTCGTCTATTCTTCAACAGTCCAATTCCAATTTCTAACTTTCACTCACATGTCTTTTCTCATTTATATTTATTTGCTTTTGCTTTTGTTTGATAATAGTTAATGAAGAGTAAACACTATTAGCCTTTTTTATACAGTATTTACCGTATTTAGATTAAGAAACAAATTTATAAACGATATGTTAGCTATTGTTATATATGAAAATTTTATTCTATAAGAAAGAGAACGAATAGAATTATATCACTGTTTTTGTATTATTGTTATACAAAAACTAATAATTGATATATGAAAGATACTTAGATAAATATATTTCAATTTTTTCTCTTATATTCTATAACTATAGACTTCTTTAACAATGAG